AAGTTTAGTAACATACATACAGAAAAGTGAGCAAATCATCAGTGCTTGATGGATTTTCAAGCAAGCACACCCATGTGACCTGCATCCAGATCAAAAACATGCTCTAGTATTTTCTAATATTATGTTTTCTTCTTTGACACATGGGGATTGGGAAGTGTGCTTCAAACTCTCCTGTATTGGAAAAGATTTTATTTGTTGATGGATTCTAACTCATTTTTCTTGAGGATCCCTTAGAGAAGGTGGACTCTAATAATAATTCTTGGAGATTTGTGGGAGTCTAGGACATTGGTTCTTTTTTTCATGCTTGCTTCAAAGTCTATTCTGTCTGATATTAATATAACTACATGAGGTTTCTTTTGGCATCTTTCATTGTCTTTTTACTTCTAACTGTGATGTGTACTTCTACAATATTTTAGGCATGTATCTTAGAAACAGGATAAAATAGGGTTTTGTATTTCAGTCCACTCTGACAGTATCTTAAACTAGTAGTTTGCTTAATTTACATCTGTTGTGATTCCTAATATCTGTATTTTTTTTCTAACTAACCACTGTCCTAATGAGGATCTGGATTTGTTTCTACCATCTCATTTTGTGCCTTCTGCAGCCAGGGGCAGTAGAGATAGCCCAAAAGTCTTAGTGCGGTTTTAAGTGCTATTTTAACAATTTTAGGACACCCTGTGTTTATCCTGATTTTTCTATTCTTCTTTCTCCTTTCCTTCTTCCTATTGGTTTGTTAAAGTTTTCTTTAAACCCTGGTATGATAGTTATACGTGAACATGTGGCCTTTTTAGACTTCAGTCGGCTCTCCTCCCAAATAGCGTGAAGACCTTGGAAGGCACAAACGCCGATCACTTACCTCTTGTCTGCTATTTCCGTTGTGCCTTATGTCCCTGCTGCAAACATTAGTCACCATTAGTATCGCTTTATACAGTTGGTGCTGGTTCAGGTAGACCCGAGGGTTTCCGAGCTCCGTCGGCGTTGCTGCTCGCATCTCTTTCCTCCTGACGCACACACGTTCCTTCTGTCGAGGTCTGTTAAGGATAAACTGTTTTCGTCTTCTTCTAACTGTTACAGATCAGCTGGGCACAGGATTCCAGGTTGCTCTTCTCTCAGTGACGTTGAAGCTATGCCCCGTCTCTGACGTCTGTCCTTCCAGTTGTAAAGGCTGCTCTCTGCCCAGCTGGTGCCTGGAGGTCCATTTCCATCTTTGTGCTGCTTTTATGACCGCCTGTGACGTTCTCTGTTTTGACAGTGATGGTTTCAGTTATGGATTTACTTAGGTTTGTATATCATGCTTCGTACTAACTGGTTTCCTGAATCTAAGAACTTCAAGATTTTCATTAATTTTAGAAAATTCTGGCCAGCGTCTCTTTGTCTGTTTCTCCTCCCCGATTCTCATTATTTTGATTTGTATTAGACACTTGTTGGCACGTTGGGCCTTCTTATTGTCTCATGTCAACCTCTCTCACACACACGTGTGCGCGCACACACACACACACACACACACACACAGTGGTCCCTTGGTATTCTCAGGGGATTGGTTCTAGAACCTCCCTCGGATACCAAAATCCAAGGATGCTCATACCCCTGAAGTAAAATGGCGCAGTATTTGTGTATAACCTACACACATCCTCCTGGGGACTTTGTATCATCTCTAGGTTACTCATGATACTTAATACAATGTAAATGATATGTAGATAGTCGTTATACAGCACTGAGGAACAATGACAAGGAAAAAGTCTGTATACGTTCAGTACAGATGCAATTTTTTCCCTAATATTTTCAATCTGAGGTCGGTTGAATCGCACCAGTGCAGAACCTGTGGGTGCGCCAGATACATATGTGTGTGTATAAAACGGTCTCATTCACTCTCTGTGCTGTATCCCAGGTCACTGCTTCAGACAACTGTCTTCTAGTTCATTCTCTTGAGCCGAGTCTCACCTGTATTTTAACACCCTCCAACCAGCTTAATTTCTATGATTATATTTTTCATTTATAA